GTGCTTCAATGCCATGATTTTACAGTGAAAATTAAAAAATTAATTAGAAATCGACGGTCAATAAAGTCAGTACAGTTAAGCTTTCAAGCGTTAGATTTTAGTTAACATAACACAACGTACCATCCTCGATCGTGTTCTCCAACAACGGTGTGGCCGAGTCCAGGGCACCCTCCCTCCCAATGCTCGTTGGTCTACCTCCGTAGATTGCGTCCATTTGGTCGAACCACTTCCACGATCGTCTGTTTGAACTACTCCGGCTGTTGTGGTCCTTTATGCTTCTGTAGTCGCTCTTCAGTTTTTTTTTTACTTATCCCTACATTGTTTGTAGGTCCGGTGGTAGCCATGTACGACCAAGAGCTGAGCGACCTCCTGAAAAACTTTTTCATTCCGCGTCGCCCCATCAAGCTCTCCGCTCCTCTGCTATCAATGAGAGGAACGTCTGTACTTCCGCAACAGACCACAAAAAAGCCATTTTTTGGATGTTACAAAAAGAGCGTTTGTTCAAAACAGTTGCGTTCGATCCTTCGCTGGCTGTGCTGATTTAAATCTAGCGGTTCTGTTGTGTTTGTGTCACAAGTTCAGTGATGCAGGTAGTGATGATTCTCTCCGGCCAATCCGTGATCAGCAGAGTTTACACGTCACGTTTTGGTAACGGTACGGTACGCTTGGAACCCCAACCGAAGTGGTACTAAAAAAAGTACCAGGTACCAGGTACTGTACCCAGTGGAAAACCCCCCAAAAGTGAACCGTACCGTGCCGTACCATGCAGTGGAAAAGCGCCATTTGTCTCCAGCTTCACCCTGGCTCCTCACCCCCTCAGCTCAATCTGGGACCATTGTCCTTCTGGCTCCTCCAGGCTACCTTGTCCCACTGGCTCTGCCCTGGTTAATCATGAGTCCACCATAACCAAGGACTTCTAGGCTGTCTGCTGTGTTTCATTCCTTCTTCCCTACGGCTCAGTCATGCTCCTCCTTCTCTCAGTCCTTACTCATTCCATCACTTAGCATGTTTACAGGCACAACTGTACGTTGATTAAATTATTGAAATAACCTGTTGGCCAGGTTTACATGCAAATCAAGAACCTGACAATGCAAGTAAACTGTGTTTACGAGACTTTATTACAGTTTTCCTTAGTCGCTTTGGAGCATTTCTCAGATCAGAAATGAAGTTCTCAAAACTACTTGTTCAACCTCCATATCATCTAGTCATATCTAGTGCACAACATAAAAACAGTTTCTCATTCTTTTGAACAAGTTGTGATTGCTTTGGTACATGCATGCAATTGATTATGTACATTTTATGTACGGTTTCCTACATTATCAGTTTCTAATGTCATGTTGCTCAAAATGTATTAAATAGTTCTCTGTGCAACAGTCTTACCCCTCAAAACATCTAGTCATTAGTTCATCGTAGAAGTCATTAAATGCAAAATGGTTGATCTAGTTGTCATAAATGGTAAAGCATATTTTCTACACATTTCTTTTAGACTTTTTATAAATTTGCCATGTATTGTGCAGGTGAATCTTGACTTTCACTAATGAAGAGAATGTAAATCTCTGAAATAGCTCAAAGGTGCATCTCATGAACCTTCAATTGGAAAGCATATAGACCAAGGACAACAAAAGAGTTACAAATTCTCATCTAAATTACGACCTATGCTCTCAAAGTCAAATGCAGAAACATTCATTCATGCGTTTATGACCTCAAGGTTAGATTATTGTAATGCTTTATTGGGTGGTTGTTCTGCACGCTTAATAAACAAACTCCAGCGGGTCCAAAATGCAGCAGCTAGAGTTATTCCTAGAACCAGGAAGTATGACCATATTAGCCCGGTTCTGTCAACACTGCACTGGCTCCCTATTAAACATCCTATAGATTTTAAAATCTTGCTTATTACTTATAAAGCCCTGAATGGTTTAGCACCTCAGTATTTGAACGAGCTCTTGTTACATTATAGTCCTCCACGTCCACTGCATTCTCAAAACTCTGGCCATTTGATAATACCTAGAATATCAAAATCAACTGCGGGCGGCAGATCCTTCTCCTACTTAGCTCCCAAACTCTGGAATAACCTACCTAACATTGTTCGGGAGGCAGACACACTCTGTCAGTTTAAATCTAGATTAAAGACCCATCTCTTTAACCTGGCTTACACATAACACACTAACACATTTGAAATATTCAAATCCATTAAAAGATTGTCAGGCTGCATTAATTAGGACAACCAGAACCGGGAACACTTCCCATAACACCCGATGTACTTGCTACATCTCTAGAAGAATGGCATCTACGCTAATATTAGTCTGTTTACAATATTTAATTTCTAACAAAGGCCCATGAATAAATTTAATGCACACAAATACCTCCTTGGTGTCACTTCACTTTCACATCTTCTTGAGCAAATACACACAATATTATGTCACAACGGCTGTCTTGACGAGTATCCAAGTAAACACAGTCGATTATGTCTTAAATAAACATAAAGAGTTAAGAAAGCATTGGATGTGTGTCAGTATAACAGATCCATGCCTTTCTTATACTAAGCTTATAATGTTAATCAAACTACAAAAGAAAACAGAGAATCACTTACTGCTCATAAGTAACTTCTGTAACGTTAGTAGGTAATTGTGTCTGTTTACTTGATACAATACAGTTTCCATAAGCACTAAAATGCTGTTTATTTAGGTAAATTGTATCTTTGTATCTAGCGGTCTCTCTGAGGGCTAAGCCCCTGTGAAGGATGCTTGGAAGAAACTCACCAAGAAAACCCTGAACTGGCCTCATCTGGACATCTAAAAGTGTCCTTGCCTTGGTGTGAGGGATCCTTTCATGAGAGCAACACCAAAGACCGTACAGATGATCTGAGAAACACCAATATAGTGCGTAGCTGGCGAAATACATCGCCAGGCTACAGAGATGTTCTCAAAGATGAGGGAAAACAACTATTAAAAACTAATGTCATCAACACACACGTAATTCCCCACAAGAACAATGTGATGACTAGATTAATGAAGAGTAGATTAATGTAGTCAATGTGCTTGAAAAGCACTGATATCAAGCCCCCTTTCACTCAGTTGTAAGTATTTAGTTATTTTAAATACTTTATTATATGAAGATCAAGAAACTTGAATTTAGCTTGCATTTAGATATAAGCCAGAAGCTTTTGAGAAAAATATCAGTGGTATTGATAGCGCTGGGAATCTGTGATTTATCCTTTGAGTCAATCCTTTATCTTATCATTTGAAGGTCTTATTTTGTGTGTGAATTTCTTATTTATGTTTTACCGTCTGAACGGGACTTTTATTTTGGTGAGGCGGCGTGACGTCATAAGGCTGCGCCGCGCTACTGCATCAGAGATTCAGCTGAGGAAAGGTTTGTTTTACATTTTTTAAGTCCGTGAAACCCGTTCAAAAATGTATGATTTATTCACGTAACGTTCTAATGCATCTACTAACACTAATGAACATAGTTTGTATGAGTAAAGTGAATAAATAAAAGTAATGAACCGTTTTTGTGAGTAAACAACAGAAAAGGTGCGTCTCATTTTCTAGTTCAGATACATTTTGTGCTTTTGAGCTTTCTATTTATCAAGAATTACTGTAGTTACCATGTTCTGAACATCACATCCTTTCTTTCCATCAGATGTGATCTATCTAGGTGGTTGAATACAAATATTTGGACTTTATTTTTAAAAAGCTATCTCAAATTAGCACCAGCAAGCATGTTAGCTAGACAGTTAGCATCAGCTAACATTGACTTATTTTCAGCATGGTTATGAATAAACATTTATATTTGTCTACTCGGCTAGTTGATCCAGATACATAGTAACTTAGGCTATGTGTGCTAAAAAAGAAATATAAAAACAGACGTCACATAGGGCTAAATGCATAGCATTTTAGTAAAACTGCTAACATTACAGCAGCGGGGAAGATGAACGTGCATGAGTTATTTTATTTCATCTGTGTTATTTTAATGTTTTTCACCTAAAACATAGAGACTCTGATGTTGATGTGTCTGCATTCAAGCATTTCAGTGGGCTTAAACAGGTCACCCTTTACAGCAGATTTAGTTCACAAACAAGTATGATTCTCAGTTACAATAATTAATCCTAACATTCGACATTAGTAACTTACTTTTAACAGCATCCGACGCGCGCGCGCTCACATGATCTCCCGGTTCTTACTTGTGAATTCAGTTCACTGGAGACTCGCACTAAACGGTTCATTTGAATCAGGGAGTTGTTGACTCGAGAATCGGATGATTCCGATGAAGCTGCAATCGGATTATTCCAATTCGTGAATGAATCGTTTGGTGCGATTCATTCCATGCTTCACTGTTGGGACTGTATTGGACAGGTGATGAGAACACTAATGAACATAGTTTGTATGAGTAAAGTGAATAAATAAAAGTAATGAACCGTTTTTGTGAGTAAACAACAGAAAAGGTGCGTCTCATTTTCTAGTTCAGATACATTTTGTGCTTTTGAGCTTTCTATTTATCAAGAATTACTGTAGTTACCATGTTCTGAACATCACATCCTTTCTTTCCATCAGATGTGATCTATCTAGGTGGTTGAATACAAATATTTGGACTTTATTTTTAAAAAGCTATCTCAAATTAGCACCAGCAAGCATGTTAGCTAGACAGTTAGCATCAGCTAACATTGACTTATTTTCAGCATGGTTATGAATAAACATTTATATTTGTCTACTCGGCTAGTTGATCCAGATACATAGTAACTTAGGCTATGTATGCTGACAAACAATATAAAAACAGACGTCACATAGGGCTAAATGCATAGCATTTTAGTAAAACTGCTAACATTACAGCAGCGGGGAAGATGAACGTGCATGAGTTATTTTATTTCATCTGTGTTATTTTAATGTTTTTCACCTAAAACATAGAGACTCTGATGTTGATGTGTCTGCATTCAAGCATTTCAGTGGGCTTAAACAGGTCACCCTTTACAGCAGATTTAGTTCACAAACAAGTATGATTCTCAGTTACAATAATTAATCCTAACATTCGACATTAGTAACTTACTTCTAGCAGCATCAGTCGTGCGCGCGCTCACAAGTTCTCCCGGTTCTTACTTGTGACTTCAGTTCACTGGAGACTCGCTCTAATCGGATCTTTCCATTTCGTGAATGAATCGTTTGGTGCGATTCATTCCATGCTTCACTGTTGGGACTGTATTGGACAGGTGATGAGCAGTGCCTGGTTTTCTCCACACATACCGCTTAGAATTAAGGCCAAAGAGTTCTATCTTGGTCTCATCAGACCAGAGAATCTTATTTCTCACCATCTTGGAGTCCTTCAGGTGTTTTTTAGCAAACTCCATGCGGGCTTTCATGTGTCTTGCACTGAGGAGAGGCTTCCGTCGGGCCACTCTGCCATAAAGCCCCGACTGGTGGAGGGCTGCAGTGATGGTTGACTTTCTACAACTTTCTCCCATCTCCCGACTGCATCTCTGGAGCTCAGCCACAGTGATCTTTGGGTTCTTCTTTACCTCTCTCACCAAGGCTCTTCTCCCCCGATAGCTCAGTTTGGCCGGACGGCCAGCTCTAGGAAGGGTTCTGGTCATCCCAAACGTCTTCCATTTAAGGAACGGAGGCCACTGTGCTCTTGGGAACCTTAAGTGCAGCAGAAATTTTTTTGTAACCTTGGCCAGATCTGTGCCTTGCCACAATTCTGTCTCTGAGCACTTCAGGCAGTTCCTTTGACCTCATGATTCTCATTTGCTCTGACATGCACTGTGAGATGTAAGGTCTTATATAGACAGGTGTGTGGCTTTCCTAATCAAGTCCAATCAGTATAATCAAACACAGCTGGACTCAAATGAAGGTGTAGAACCATCTCACCATCTCAAGGAAGAAATGGACAGCACCTGAGTTAAATATATGAGTGTCACAGCAAAGGGTCTGAATACTTTCCGTACCCCCGTACCCAAGTTTTTCTTTTTTAATAAATCTGCAAAAATGTCAACAATTCTGTGTTTTTCTGTCAATATGGGGTGCTGTGTGTACATTAATGAGGAAAAAAAATTAACTTAAATGATTTTAGCAAATGGCTGCAATATAACAAAGAGTGAAAAATTTAAGGGGGTCGGAATCAGCATGATGCTGCCACCACCATGCTTCACTGTTGGGCCTGTATTGGACAGGTGATGAGCAGTGCCTGGTTTTCTCCACACATACCGCTTAGAATTAAGGCCAAAAAGTTCTCATCAGACCAGAGAATCTTATTTCTCACCATCTTGGAGTCCTCCATGCGGGCTTTCATGTGTCTTGCACTGAGGAGAGGCTTCCGTCGGGCCACTCTGCCATAAAGCCCCGACTGGTGGAGGGCTGCAGTGATGGTTGACTTTCTACAACTTTTTTCCATCTCCCGACTGCATCTCTGGAGCTCAGCCACAGTGATCTTTGGGTTCTTTTTTACCTCTCTCACCAAGGCTCTTCTCCCCCGATAGCTCAGTTTGGCCGGACGGCCAGCTCTAGGAAGGGTTCTGGTCGTCCCAAACGTCTTCCATTTAAGGATTATGGAGGCCACTGTGCTCTTAGGAACCTTAAGTGCAGCAGAAATGTTTTTGTAACCTTGGCCAGATCTGTGCCTTGCCACAATTCTGTCTCTGAGCTCTTCAGGCAGTTCCTTTGACCTCATGATTCTCATTTGCTCTGACATGCACTGTGAGCTGTAAGGTCTTATATAGACAGGTGTGAGGCTTTCCTAATCAAGGTCAATCAGTATAATCAAACACAGCTGGACTCAAATGAAGGTGTAGAACCATCTCAAGGATGATCAGAAGAAATGGACAGCACCTGAGTTAAATATATGAGTGTCACAGCAAAGGGTCTGAATACTTAGCGTACCCACTGTATTATAAGGAGTAACGATAGGTTTTATGAAATGTAGTGAAGTAAAAAGTATGATCGTATGCTTTGGAATGTAGTGAAGTAAAAGTAAAAGTTACTCAAAATAAAACTACTCCAGTAAAGTACAGATACTTGAAAAATTTACTTAAGTACAGTAACGAAGTAAAGCTACTCCGTTACTGTCCACCACTGCTTTGGAGTGTTACAAGCTCTTGGTGCATAAAGAAGATCTGTAAAGGCGGGGCATAGAGGAGAAACAATAATGTACAGTATGTGGAAAATAATGTGTTTTTAACTTTAAACCGCATTAACACATTTCATTACACCTAATACACAAAATAATGTTCTTTTTAGCAACATCATATGACCCCTTAAAGATTTCCCCTCCCTAAATCATGCAACTCTACTAATCCATTAACTCTCACTCTGACTGACTCCCTTACTAGTGTGCTGACTACTGAACTAGGGAGCTGACTGAGACGCACCCAGAGATCTATCTGTTAATTATTCTGATCTTAAACACACAGAAAAACTCCTGCTGAAGCGACGGAGATCCTCGAGACAATGTTATAAAGATGGCGTTTATTAAAGAGGAGAGTGAAGATGTGAGGATTGAAGAAGCTTTCAAACATAAGGATATTGAGGAACAACAAACAAAGATGGCGTTTATTACGGAGGAGACTGAAGACGTGAGGATTGGAGAAGCTTTCACAGTTAAGCAAGAAGATCCTGAGGAACAACAAACAAAGATGGCGTTTATTACGGAGGAGACTGAAGACGTGAGGATTGGAGAAGCTTTCACAGTTAAGCAAGAAGATCCTGAGGAACAACAAACAAAGATGGCGTTTATTACGGAGGAGACTGAAGACGTGAGGATTGGAGAAGCTTTCACAGTTAAGCAAGAAGATCCTGAGGAACAACAAACAAAGATGGCGTTTATTACGGAGGAGACTGAAGACGTGAGGATTGGAGAAGCTTTCACAGTTAAGCAAGAAGATCCTGAGGAACAACAAACAAAGATGGCGTTTATTACGGAGGAGACTGAAGACGTGAGGATTGGAGAAGCTTTCACAGTCAAGCAAGAAGATATTGAGGAACAACAAACAAAGATGGCGTCTATTACAGAGGAGAGTGAAGACAGGATCTTCTTGCTTGACTGTGAAAGCTTCTCCAATCCTCATGAGGCACAACAAACAAAGATGGCATCTATTACAGAGGAGAGTGAAGACATGAGGATTGGAGAAGCTTTCACAGTCAAGCAAGAAGATACTGAGGAACAACAAACAAAGATGGCGTTTATTACGGAGGAAACCGAAGACATGAGGATTGGAGAAGCTTTCACAGTCAAGCAAGAAGATACTGAGGAACAACAAACAAAGATGGCATTTATTACGGAGGAGACTGAAGACGTGAGGATTGGAGAAGCTTTCACAGTCAAGCAAGAAGATATTGAGGAACAACAAACAAAGATGGCGTCTATTACAGAGGAGAGTGAAGACGTGAGGATTGAAGATTTCAGAGTTGAACATGAAGATATTGAGACACAATCAGGTTGGTTTCATTCTCAAAGTCTTTCTTCAGTCATTCTGTGTCATGCATCTCTTTATCTGTTATTTGTCTCACAACAGAATTAATGACATGTAATTAATTTATTTAGGCAAGGCAAGTTTATTTATATAGCACATTTCATACACAATGGTAATTCAAAGTGCTTTACATAAAAGAAAATAAAAAAATAATCACAACAATATAACAAGGAATTTAAAAACTTTGAAAATGATTTAAAAATTGATTTAACAGGTTTAAAATGAATTTAAAATGGTTAAGAATAGAAAACGATTATACAAAATATAGTGCAATCAGTTAGGACATCGCACAGTGCTCATTCAATAAATGTGCAGCTAAACAGATGAGTTTTGAGTCTGCATTTAAATGTGGCTAATGTTTTAGCACATCTGATCTCTTCTGGAAGCTGAATCCAACTGCGGGCAGCATAATAACTAAAAGCACATTCCCCTTGTTTTGTGTGAACCCTTGGTATTTCTAACTGACTCGATCCTAATGATCTGAGTGGTCTGTTAGGTTTATATTCCGTGAACATATCTGCTATGTATTTAGGTCCTAGGCCATTGAGTGATTTATAAACGAATAAAAGTACTTTAAAATCAATCCTGAATATAACTGGAAGCCAGTATTGTTTAAGTTACTGTTTATAAGGTTTGAGAAGAATGACTGTCTAGCTTTGCCTAATACCACATTGAAAGCACGAAGGCTGTCTTTATATATGCTATAGTGTATTTCAAGTTTCGTCTTCCGCCACATCCGCTCAGCTTTTCTGCATTGTCTTTTCATACTCTGAACTGCTGTTGATTTTCTCCAAGCTGATTTCTGTCTGCCAGTCTTCTTGCCAATTTCAGCTCGCTGTGTGTATTAAAGACTTCTGTCCATAGAATCTTTATCTTCCATTCCAACCTCTCCACTACCATTAGCAAGACCAAAGAGCTGTCAAAGGTCATCAGGGACAAGATTGTACACCTGCACAAGGCTGGAATGGGCTACAAGACCATCAGCAAGAAGCTTGGTGAGAAGGAGACAACTGTTGGTGCGATTATTCGGAAATGGAAGAAATGCAAAACAACCATCAATCGGCCTCGGTCTGGAGCTCCATGCAAGATCTTGCCTCATGAGGTAAGGATGATCATGAGAAAGGTGAGGGATCAGCCCCAAACTACATGGGAGGAGCTTGGTAATGATCTCAAGGCAGTTGGGACCACAGTCACCAAGCAAAACATTGGTAACACACTACGCTGCAATAGATTGAAATCCTGCAGTGCCAGCAAAGTCCCTCTGCTCAAGAAGTCACATGTACCGGCCCATCTGAAGTTTGCCAATGAACATCTAAATGATTCAGAGAAGGCTTGGGAGAATGTGCTGTGGTCAGATGAGACCAAAACTGAGCTCTTTGGCATCAACTCGACTCGTCGTGTTTGGAAGAAGAGAAATGCTGACTATCACCCCAAGAACACCATCCCTACAGTCAAGCACGGAGGTTATGCTTTGGGGTAGGCTTGCCGCGATAGACGGTGTTGACAAGTCATAGTGTCAACAGGCTTTTCAAAATATTGCCAGATGTAACCGTGTTAAAGAAGATGTGCTATTCAGATCTAGAAGAGCTTTTCATTAACTGTAAGCCTTTCTACTCACCGCAGGAGTTTTGCTCATACATTCTCGTCAGTGTGTACATTCCTCCGCAAGCGCACGTGAGCTCCGCTTTACAGAAACTCGCTGATCTGATCACAGACACAGAACAACAACACCCGGACTCTGTTTTAATCATTCTCTGGGACTTTAATAAAGCCAGTCTCTCCTGTGAACTGCCAAAATACAGACAGCACATCACATGTCCCACCAGAGACAGTAATGTATTGGATCACTGTTACACCACAAAAAAGAATCCATATCACTCTGTCCCACGAGCAGCTTTGGGGCTCTCCGATCACTGTTTAGTTAATCTTATACCGACCTACAGGCAGAAACTGAAATCAGCTAAACCTGTATTAAGGACTGTAAAAAGATGGACTAATGAAGCAGAGCAGGATTTAAAAGCTTGTTTTGACCGATTGGAGTGTTTTTGAAGCTGCGGCCACCGAACTGGACGAGCTCACAGGGACTGTAACATCTTGTATCAGTTTCTGTGAAGATATGTGCATTCCTACGAGGACTCATTTAACTTACAACAACGACAAACCATGGTTCACTGCAAAACTCAGACAGCTCCGTTAGGCCAAAGAAGATGTTTACAGGAAGGGGGACAATGTCTTGTATAAACGGGCTAAATACACACTGGAAAAGGAGACCAGAGTGGCAAAGAGGAACTCATCCCAAAGAAATCCAAAATTACAGGATTAAATGACTACAGGTCTGTGGCTCTAACGTCTGTGGTCTTGAAGTCTTTTGAAAAACTGGTGCTGGCCCACCTGAAGGACACCACTGGACCCTTGCTGGATCCTCTTCAGTTTGCCTACCGAGCAAACAGGTCTGTGGATGATGCAGTCAACATGAGACTGCATTATGTTCTGCAACATCTAGACAGACCAGGGATTTATGTGAGGATCCTGTTCGTGGACTTCAGCTCGGCCTTTAA